CCCCCCCCCCCCCCCGCACACACACACACACACACACACACAAAGCGTGCATGTTTCCTCTTGCCTGTCACGTTAGCTTGAAACCAACATATGAAAACTAAAATATGTTCAGGTCTTGATGTTTAGGGTTGTTTTAATCAACATTACAAGATGTTCCAGCCAGAAGATGTCTGATGTTGCCTTTTATTCTGTTGTCTGAGCAGGTTCATCATCATGATAGACATTAAAATACTTCTGGGCCATTATTGAATAACTTAACAGCTGCTATTTTAGCTGCATAGGATTCCCTGGCTGTTTTTTTTTGTCCCCCCACCCCCCGACACGAGTAAGCTGACCTTCACAGGTGCTCCATGTCGAAAAACTGAACTTGTGTCCTAGCTGATGCAATGTGACCTAATAATCCTTCTCCTTCACCAAATGTGCCAGAGCAGCAGTTCAATGTGTGTGTTTGTGATGTACTGTCAGAGACATCTTATTATTCCCATGGGACAGTGGGGCCTGGGTGACCCCCCCCCCCCCACATAGCTAAAAAACAAACAAACAAACACACATCCATCACCTGATGCAAACCCAAGCATAAATGCACGTTCAGACCTCTGCTTGCCTCATGAATATGAACACGACAGGTCATGCTTGAGAAATGCAAGTCTTGTTCTCACACTCACACAAGCCCAACTGCTCTTAAATCAAGTCTTCACCTTGAAATCTAATTATTTATGCAACTGTGACTTGTTTTTGTCCTCAAACGCACAAAGTTTCCGACGTGCAGCTGCCATTTGTCCTCACCATCGGACAAACAGTCGTACACGTTCTCACACACGGCAGTTAACATTATGCTAATGATGACCTTCACATATCTTTTGAATGTTTTGCTGTTTGCATGTCTGCAGTTCAGTGTGTTTTTGTGTGTGTAAGGGTGTGTGTCTCTGTGTGTGATAGCATCAGCTATAGATTTGTCACTTAGCTTAAATGTTTTGCAAGGTTATCCATTCAAAGCACTCAGGCACTGCATATTTGAGAGTAGTTTTGGTTTATTTTAATTGTTTAATTACATTTGAATGACATAGGATGTGCTCATTAATACATTTATTCATTTATGAAGAGCCTAGTGGTTCATGGCTTCAAGGAGACCTGACCGTTTGCAGAATAGATGGAGATTAACTAGAGAAACTGACCGCAGACACAAAGGAGGATGGTTCAATCTTTTCGTGTATTTGGAGGGTGACTTAATCGCTATCCTTAAATTAAACTCTTCATTGCAGGTTGAATTTATCTGTTTTATTACCTGTTTTACAGTCAGCTGGAGGAAGGAGAGCGTGAGGCTGGCTGGTCGTTTTGCCGGGGGCAGATTTGTGTTGGTGCACGGTGGAACTGAGCTCTGCTGCAGACTTCGAATGGGCAGAGTGTGTTTTAAGGTTTAGACAGGCAGGAAAAGTCACTACAACCACACGACTCAAAAGCACATCTGTTTGCAACATCTGCACTCACTTAAAGCTTTGGTCTCTGCTCCACGGGTGTGTGTAGATGTGTGTGTTTGTGTATTTACCCCTTATAGCCACCCTCGAATCATACATGGATGGAGGATGATCTGTTTTTGGTTGGTCCAGTTCAGTTTAGAAAAGTGGGTCACTCCGTGTGTACAAGTTCCTGCGTGTGCTTGTGTGTTTTAGTCTCCAGCTGAGAGTCTGGTTCAGATAAGCTGAAAGTCAAAACCAGTCATGTTTAGAAAGTGAAACATATACAATTCCACACCAGACATGAAAATCAAGCCAAAGAAGGATGTTTGTGAGCATATTCTCCCGTGAAGGACCTTTGACTGGCAGCTGGATTTAGTCAGATTGTTTTCATCTGTGCTAGTCTTTTTGTTTGAAGTACAGCTGTTGGCGTTTACTCTTGGTATACATTTACATGGACTTTAAATGTTTGTATTAGTAGTTGTATTGATGCCTGCATTTGACTCTACATTGAATGGACGACAGCAGTTTCTATCTCATTTAAATGTTGTCTTTTAATGTATGTCCTTAACACTGGGGTCATTTGAAAATAGAGTTTAGTGACCCTGAAAATTTACACCTTTGAATATGTGATTCTGGGCATTAGTTCAGTGTCATCATGAACCAACTCAGCAATCTAGTTTTAGTTTTTCTAAATCTTATTTAAAACAATAGGACGGTAATATTGCTTCCAGTTTATGATGTTTTTATGAGTGTGGGTTCAGAAAACGAGGTCAGTGCAGGTTTCAGAACTGTACAAATGATGCATCACCAGGATTTCAGACAAAGAAACGAAGTTGAAACCTGTGTCTCTTTAAAATATTGAAGGCCTTTGGTAGGGACAGGTGGAGGACTCTGATCTTTTTTCACCTTTGATCAAATTGTTTTAACCTAAAACCGCAGTATTTGTGAAGAAGTAAAACATCAAAGGTCGTGCCCTTATACGTGAGATGTGAGCTGCAGAGAAGCTCAACAACACAAAGACTCAAAGACTGATCCTGAATATACAAGGCTTTTGATATTTGCAAATGGGATGTATTTATTAGACTTCAATAATCAACAATTGTTTTTTCTTAACAAGACTGACTTCTGTGCACATAATGTTTTATTTTGCCCAACTTAGACCCATTAGACAGTTGCTTGACTTTGATTTCTGTTTTTAGTTTCATTAAAAAATTGTTTTAATTTTCCATAAGAGTCTTTGGAATCGCTCTTTATCTGGCCTGTCACCTAGGACCAGTCTGCCTTGGGAGACCCTACCAGGGACAATTATGGTACAATTGCACCCCGACAGCATAGCTCCTAAGATCATTCAAGCACATAAACTCCTCCACCATGATAAGGTGGTAATTCAGGGAGGACTCTTACAGACAGAAACAACAAGGAGCTCAGTGTCTCTTGACTGGATGTGGGTTACCGTGGCTCCACGGTACTGGGTACCCCCAGCATGGGCTCCAGAACCAATCTCCTTGAGAGGTACTAGACATCATTCCACTCTGAAGTTTCCCATGGTGAGAGGTGCCAAGCTGGTGTAGGTCTACTCTTAGCTCCCTGTCTTGGTGCCTGTGTGTTGCAGTTTTCCTCTGTAAATGGGAGGGTTGCTTCCCTGTGCCTTTGGGATGGGGGATGGGTTCTGATGGTTGTTTGTGCCTATGCACCAAATATATTATATTATTATTAACCTTTATTTAAACGGGGAAATCCCATTGCGATCACAGATCTATTTTGCAAGGGAGGCCTGGACTTGAAGGCAGCCTAACATGCATGTTTTTTTTGGTCTGTGGGAGGAAACCGGAGTACCCGGAGAAAACCCACGCAAGCATGAGAACATGCCAACTCCACACAGAAAGACCCCAGGTCCAACCGGGGATTGAACCCAGGACCTTCTTGCTGTGAGGCAACAGTGCTAACCACTGAGCCATTGTGTTGCCCAAATGGCAGTTCAGAGCATCTGGCTTCCTTAGAGTCCTTAGATGCTGGAAGGTGCACCAGCTGGGGACTCTTATTCTATTGGAGGACTTCAGTGCTCACATGGGTAAATGACAGTGTGAACTAGAGGGGAGTGATTGGGAGGAATAGCCTCTCTGATCTGAACCCAAGCAATGTTCTGTTGTTGGACTTCTGTGCTAGTCATGGCTTGTCCATCACGAACACCATGTTTGAACATTAGGGTGTCCATAAGTGAACTTGGCACCAGGACACCCTAGGATGCAGATCAATGTCATCTGATTTGTGGCCATTTATTCTGGACACTCGGGTGAAAAGAGGAGCTGAGCTGTCAACCGATCTCCACCTGGTAGTGAGCTGGATCAGATTGTGTGGGAAGATGCCGAATTGACCCTGTAGATCCAAACATGTAGTGAGAGTTTGCTGTGAACATCTGGCAGAAGAACCCATCAGAAATATCTTCAACTTGCACCACCTGCTTTGACCTCATCCCAGCTGAGGCAGGGGACACTGAGTTTGAGTGGGCCATGTTCCGCGACTCAATTGTTGAGGTGGCTACCTTGAGCTGTTGCTGCAAGGTTGTTGTTGCTTCTCATGGTGGCCATCCTTGAACTCGGTGGTAGACACTCCATGTTAGGGAGTTTGTCAAGCTGAAGA